GATGATGCCGGCTGGCACACTGATTCACTATGAATGTAGGCCGCACCCCCTAAAGGCAGAAGCTCGTACTACATCCGGTTCGCCCTCTATTGACACAGTCTTGAAACTTTCCGATCGCACCTCGTATCTACCATAATGAAAGTGATTAATCACTCCTATGAAAAAAAAACCCTCTGTTTAACAGGTTTCAGATTTAACAGGCACAGTCTGGTATTTACTGGACAGAAGGCATTAGTGGACATTAAAACTAAAAAGTCTGCTAATGATCATTGGATTTTTTGTGCTTCATTATCTATTCACACTGCAGTGTTTTAATGAATCTTGTGTCATTGTTGGTGTCCACTTCATATTACTAATTTGTTTAATGGTGTTCCTAATTGAAATTATTGGCCAAGGATGCATTACTGGCATCATAAAAACAACTGTGCAATTTAACAGACAATCAGCATTGCTGGACAAGTGTTCCCCCCCATAACTCTTTTAAATTGAGGATGTAGTGCACACAGTAATATTCTAAAATCTTTCTTTATATACCACTCAATTCTACATATTTATAAATGTAATATAAAGTTTACCTTCATCAGAGTTTGACTACAAGAGAACACCCCAGTAGCCAGCCACATAAGTTCCCATCCTCGTTCCTCACTCAGCCGGTTCCTGTTGTCTGTCAGCTGTTTCATTATCTGGCAATATATCTCATCACGTAACATATCCTGCAGAGTAAACAATCCATCTGTAATAACTTTATATTTTTTCAATAATGCTTCTCAATAGTGCTTTGTACCAATGTACCCTTTTGGCCCATAAAACATTTGTGGAATCAAATATTGAAATAGATAATAAATAAAAATAAACTAACTCCCTGGAACACAGTCCTTACTGAGAAACTGATAGTATTTCAATAGATCAAAAAATTCCCTGCTTTTATGGAATCAAAAGTTCATTACTGTACTGACGGCAGTCTATCATCCGATCTCATTCTGAGCATGCTGATTCAGTTAACATCCTCACATACTAGTTCTTCAAGATTCCCCAGATGGGCTCTCCTGTTCATGTCTTCTGAACAAAATTTGTAAGAATTTCTCACACTCCATTTTATCACTCTAAAACATTTGATGAAGAGTATAAATTATGAAGCTTTTCAGTATCCTCACTATGTAATTTTCTCCTTTGTTCTGCTACCTCATCTTTCCAAGTCTAAATATTTTCCTCAACACCCTGTTCTCAAGCACTATTAATGTACGGGCTTCCTTAGGGTAAGAGGCAATTTTCACACAATTACAAATCAAATCATAAAATTATAGTTATTACATTTTAATCTTTATGTTCTTAGACAGGAATATAAATTCTGAAGCATTCCCTGAATTTAATGTGTTGTTAACTTCCATGTGAATACAATTCTGACTTATTACTGTTGTTCCAAAATATTGTCTGTACAGTTCTAATAACTCACAGTTCATATTAAATTGAAGTATCTTACATTTTTCAGTGCACCACTGAATATCTTGTCTGTATACTCTATACCAGCACGTGCATGTCTGGTTGGCAGGTCCCCCATGTATTTCAGGATAGCAGTGAATGCTATGCAAGCTTCAGCAGCCAATTCTTCATGGTCCATCAGTTTCTGCAACAGTGGTTTCTTCAGAGGCTCTCGGGAGTGTTTCCACAGTTCCTCCTGTGTGGTGCGCCTCGCTGATGTCATCATTTGACCTTTGGGGATTGTGACAGGTTGATTGGCCCTGTACACAGAACCATTAATTTATAAGTTGCATTCTTAATGTAATGATGATAAAATGCATAGAACATTCAAATCAGAAAATGCAAAGGGAAAAGAGCACTTGGGAGATAAAGGCATATATACGATGATAATAATAATAATACTAATACTAAAATATCAAGAAAAATGTATTTCCAACAACGGATTCATCATCCCTGGTATACATTATACCAGTGATTTAAAAAAATTACAAATATTTACCACCATCTTTCCCCTGTCCCAGTACAATAAATTCTACAACACTTATGATGTATGCTAGGTGACAAAAAACTTCCAAATCCTACATCTATATCTCTGAAATAACATTTTGTAAGACAGCAATTAGAAACTCCAGTATCTTGAGCAAGAAACACTGAAATTCCCCGCTTTGTAAAACTACAAGAATGTTCACATCAACCCACCTGAAATGTTGACTGGCATATTTAGCCAGTGTGTACATCTTACGACGAGTGAGTGTCAAGTTTATCTGCTGCTTGCTCTGTTTACCAAATGCACCTTCTTTCTTGAATAAAGCCTAGAATAAATAAATTGAAAACTCTCTTTATTCTGTGCATTTTCTCCTCTTTATATAAGGTGCCCAAAATCATGTCTAAGGGGTGATTTTGGTATTAGCAGCATTGAACCTTTGGGTTAAATTACCAAATAGTTTAACAATTTAATAAGTTAAACTTTAAAGACACTGTTTCATTGTTAATGAACTAGACAAGGCTTTTATGTGTAACAAACTTCAACTTCCCAATATCAAATTTCATGAACTATCATTTCTCGAGCTATTATGATATGGTAAGTTGATGGGAATATTTTTACTACTTTTAGTTCTGAATGCACCTAAAGAAGCATTGATGAAGAGGGAAATCATAAACCTAGCTAATACTCTTCTTTCCCAAAAGAACCAGAAAATGTACGTATACCTATTGTAATATGTCCAGTGGCAGACACTGTAATTAATCTTCAGGTTCCATGAAAACAAGAGATATCTTAACCAACTGATTATCCAAGGTAACTGGGAAAAGCAGGGGCCCAGATAATGGGCAGGTCCTAGATCCCACCTGGATGCAATGGCACTGGTATAAATTATTTCTATGCATAGAATTACACTAATTTTCTGTAATATGACATAATTGTGATGGAACAGTACAGTTTACTTACTAAGATATCTGATGGTGGACGTTTTATTGCAGGCAGCACATACACACTCTCTACAGGGAAGCATCCCTTCATTCGTGTCCTCTCACAGTAGCCTTCACCCCAGTCACCTGACAGTACACTTTCTCCTAGGTTTCCATCTGTTAACTCAATCACATCTCCCTTCTGTAGTATGAGGACTGACTGACCATCAACTGTATGAAAATATTACACTTTCATCACATATTCAGTCCCTTACAGTTTATATATACTGAAAAATATAACTAAGTATAAAATTTAATCAACTACACATAGAAGTGGCAAATTTAAAGAAAACAGTATTATATCCCTTATCAAGATAATATATTTTCAATAAAATTGTCTTGAGGAACAAGCTGTGTCAGTTACAGACAAAAGCCCAATGTTTTGGAGACAATCTCAGTCTCCATCATTAGGAGAATGAGCCCTGATGATGGAGGTGGAGACGGTCTCTGGAACGTTGGGCAGTTGTCCGCAGCTGATACGACTTTTTGCCTAACTCCTGTGGAGTTAACGAACTTCTCAGGAACCTGAATACTAGAGAGTAAATAATAACTTAACCAATTTATGTGAAGTACAGTAAAAAAGTCTGTCAACGTTTTTAATGGCCTCTGAAAAATGCAGTGTTTATGTGACTTCATTTTGGAAAAAAGCATACATAAATAAACAAGGTGATGTGCAGAAACATACATTCACGAACTGTACGAAGCCATTAGTTATAAACACCTTCACTTTTGAAAATCTGAAAATTGGTTAATCTGTAACCAGCTTCTTGGTCTCCTTTGGTACAAAAGTATCAGACCAAGAATGATACCACTGTCCTCTCTAAATCTAGTCTCTGATGATTACAAACTCTTCTCAAGAATTAAACCTCTCTTGAAGAGAGGCAAATTCCACTCAACAGAAGAGGTTATGACAGTAGCACTTAAGATCACAAGACAAAGGTTACAAGAATGCTTCCAGCAGTGGTACATGCACTGGCTGAAAGCTGTGAAAGCAGATAACAACAACTTTCCAGGTCATATGAAGTAAAGTCTACAACAGCGACGGGTCAGCTCACATACACAAAATGTTAATGAAATTATCTTACTCTAACATGTAGAATGAAAGTAATAATCAAGTTTAAAATCTGAAAGGTGTGACATACCCGGTGGGCTGTAGTCCTGTAGTGCTATGACATACCGAGAGCGTTTCTTCAAGCCATCCAGCATGTAGTTCACCAGTTCATGGAAATCCTCAGCAGTCACACATTGGAACACAAAGTCATGACCATGGATTGTTGAAAGTGAAAATGAAGGGGCTCCCCCTAGATTAGTCCTATAAAGTTGACAATTTTTAAAATGTTAATCCCATTTCATGAAATACATTTTTTAAGAAGGATGAGATGAGTAGTAAAAGTATCATGCATGGGGGAAACAAGATATATGTATAAAGTTTTGGCTAGAAAATGTGTATTAAAATGACAGTTTGGGAGATGGGTTGTAACAATGACAGTCTTCTGATGTTATATTTTATTTTAGTTAGGTCTAAACTTCATCATACATAACCATATTTTAAAGTAAATATTCTTCGCTGTTTGTGTGCTTTCTGTACTAAGTTCTTTTGTCTAGCATAATTATGAAATGTTATCATAATTGATTTATTGTTATTTTTATTGTATTAATTAGTTTGTCTTTTCTGTTCTTTTGCTGTACCTGTAATTGGTCATTTGGCTGTTAATGTAACATATTAAAACAGATAAGTGAATTTAATTATTATTTAAAAGCAGATAAAAGTATGGGTATATATTACAACTTTCAGGTATTAATGCAACTGAACTTACTTATTGTGAACTACACCAGTGATTTCTGGGAATGACAACTCCAACAGAACTTGCTCTTCATCATCAACAAAATAAATTCCAGTCCAGCTAACTGCTAGTATGATATTGTTCTTAGGCATATCTGGCCCTGCAAAATACAATACAATAACCAAGACTGTGAATCAGGCAAATGTAACATGTTCATAAGATGAAAATATCATGCTTGTACTATATACATTTATGATGTAATTTTGACTACCTCCATAGAACATCCTTCAGAAGCAAATGGCCAAAAAATGTCCCTGCCTTTTATTAAACCTGAACATTCATCAACATATTTAAAGTTCACAGAATCTACAGTCATAAATGGAAGAACAACATTAAAATATATAACAGAGAAAAAGGTTGTGAAGTTTAGATTAAAATAACTCAGAATACAACCAACTGGCAGGCATTAGAGAACATTCAGATTGCATAAAAGCACAATATTTCTTGACCAGTTGAATACCTAATAATAATAATCTGTGGCGTAACAGCCCTCTGAGAGCCAAAGCCGACTAGCTGTCTGCTGGCCTCACGTTCACATGCCTAAGCAGAGGTGAACGATCATCCATCCAGATACAGGCTGACGTGTGGTCAGCATGATGAACCCCTAGCCATTGCTAGTTCTCATGACCAGATTATGCTACCCATTGTAGCTCCCCAATCTCCTCACGATGCTGGGTTGGCACCGGTCCCATACACCGGTCATAAATCTCATAAGAAATTTCTTTCCCCGAGACTTGAACCAGCGCGCATTCCGTATCACCAGTACGAAGCATGATGCCTCAGACCGTGCGGCTACGGCGCGGGACCAGTTGAATACCTATCAACTTTTTAATAAAGAATCTGGACTAAAGAATTAGTCACTTCTGTGTATGTTATACGGCAGACGATCTAAGATAGATTTCAGGTTTCCACAGTGATCCATATACAATTCTGGATGTGTTCTTCTGGACTATGACAACAGAAGAAACCTGAAAGTTGTGCAGTATCTACATTACTGAAATGTGTATAGTTAGCATAAAAATATTAGCAAAGACAGAGATGTTACATTACGATTAAAAGTATGGTAATGTATATGTTATGTACTAAGCCCTGTACCTTCATACAGTCGTGACAATATCATACCTGATATTTTCACTGTCTCATAAAATCTTGAAAATAAAAGTGGCCACTTCATCATGGCATATGCCACAATATCCTCTTTCACTTTAATGTCAGATACTTGCTCTTTTGCAAAGTAGCTCTGTAAAATAAAATAAAAGCTTACATTACATTTATACCTAACTCCATATTACAATATTATCACAGATGCAAACAATTCCCTTTCTGAAATGGGGGTACCTATAACATAGATTCTGTTAATCCTGACAGTGGATTTATAATGACAGAGGTAATGTATGGATCAAAGTTGACTAATGTTCACAATGCAGACTTGTAATCCTTACATTCAGACAGTTTCACTTTGTCTGAAGTGAAGAAATGGGAAGGTTTTTTTTTTTTTTTTTTGAAAAATCAACACAGGATAAGTTTGGTCTTGAACCACAGACCTTTGACATGGACAAATTTCTTCCTCATTCATCAACTTCCCCTCATTACTACTAAGATTAGTGCTCATACTCTCAAGTTAGTAAATCCTTTTTCACACCACCACAAAACAGACTGACAGTGCATGGAAGAGACAGCCATCATATATAGAGAAGATATGAGGACATATTAAATAAACAGTTGCATACAACCAACAAAAGGTGGTCCCCAGCTTGAGAGTTGGGCAGGAAGCCATCAACACTTCAAATAAGAAGGTAGAATGTTATAAAATGTTATACAGGGCCTCAAATTTGAACCAATTCTTTGGTGAGATCTTGTAAAAATGAACATTTCGGTTCCATAAAAAGCAGGGAAATTCTTGACCAGCTAAGTGACCATTAGCATCTCAAGAAGAACTCTGCTCAATGGATTTAGTTAATAAAAGCTTGAAGCTTTACCTTCTGGAATGCATCTGCAACAAGCCTCTCCCATCTGCTGAGTACTTTATCTCCACTGTTTTTCAGGAATTGATCAGGAATGTAATTGGGCAGCAGACTGGATAACAGTCTTGGATCAAAGTTTGCACCATTCTCCACATAATACTGTTGGGCGGCCATCATGGCAATGTCACTTTCCTGAAATCAAATTGAAGTTTTGTTCACTTTAACACATTCTTTGTCCTAAATTTGGAGTTTCATCTCTGACTTAGCACTTGGCTGGTAACAGATGAAGGTAGTATAGATTTTAATAATAATGATAACAGAAATACACACAAAGTTTCATCCAGAAGACCTAAAGGAAAGAGATGATTTGGAATAACAGGCACAGATGGGAGGATAACATGAACATGAATCTTAAGGAACAGAATGTTCGGGTAGAATCATTTGCTTCAAGAGACAGACCAGTGGTGGGCTCTTGTGAACATGGTAATGAACCTTTGGGGAATTTCGTGAGTACATGAATATTAAAATATCATGAAGCATTCAAATCCAGCAAGTAAATTATAATGAAAACAGCTTAATTAAATTACAGTATATAGAAGGAGCATCGTTAGACATATATGCATGTGGAAAAGAATAGGAATTAATTGTATTCAATAATTTTGTTTCTTTCATTTTTAGTTTATTTTTCTTTCTTAAGAGGTTGGTGGTGGTGGGGGGGGGGGGGGGTATGTGTTCCTTTTTCACTTTTGACCAAACAGACTGATTTTCATGAACTGTAGTATGAATATGAAGCACAAAGCAACATGTCTGATTGGCTAATATATTATGACACTAAAGCAGATGGTACACTTCGTTATCACCGACATCTAACAGATGTTCAATATATGTTCGCCTTGTACTTTGCTTTTATTTATACAATATGCAGAATTGATAACTGACCTTGTCACATCGGTATTCACCAAACTTGGCTCCTCGAACCACTTGCTGAAATATGAGATTGGTAGCCACAGCATCCTCTGTAGGATCATGCCAAGGAGCAAAAATCTCCTTACGGAAGAATAATCTCCAGGGTGCATTTTTCTCTTGTGCTCCTTGTTCCTTAGCATACTGCTCACATTGCGAGATGGCATCCATCACATGGTCTCCTTTGTTTCCAAGAGAAGAAACCTATATGAACAGTAATTTAATTGTGCTTGTATTTACTGCAAATAACAGCACACAAATTTTCTCATATCAATTTTAAAGTCTGAGTATTCAAAACTTGTTTCTTACTTAAATATTTCTTTTCCCAACTGTTCCCTTCTAAAGTTTGAGTAAACATATAAAAAAATATCTCATTTCTTAATATTATTTCAATACGTTCACATGGCACAACATGAGTACGAAGTCTTTAGTGGAGTATTTCAACCAGGAGCTAAAGAAATCAGAAGAGGAAAATTTTCTTTCTTCATTTTTAAACAGGCCTCTTTGAAGTCTCATATTAATGAGTATGAATATTCTGAGTTGTAGTGCTGTGTAGTCTGGTAGAGGTTTACCAATGTGTCAGAGGTCCTTGCTGCCTCCATCATCAGAGAGATCACTCTGATGATGGAAGCAAAAAGGATATATTTGCCACTAAAATTATTACACACAGATAGAAGTAAGGAATAATAAATCAAGATTCTTATCATGATAATTTATGCTAATGCAATGCTGAAAATATTATATTGATATATTTACCTTGTCGAACAGTGCAATGAAGAGAGAGAATCCAAAGTGATCCTTAAGTTTGATGTTGTCATACAGCTGGTTACACAGTTCTTCAGCAGTTGTAGATGAATCTGCACTCAGCTTCTTCACAGTGCCATCCATGAATGTAACGTCTATCACAATAGGTTTCTTTGACTTCGTGGCCTAAAATACAACAGACAAGAATGTTCAACCATAATTGCTGATGATTACGGATGAAGATTCAGAGCAACATGTCACACAGGAAGGTTTATGTATCTCAGGAAATCATAAATTCTAACAATTATTTATTTATTTCATTTTCCTTAGTGTATGCATAATGGCGGATGTTTCATAATTTAATCTTCAGTCTACATTAAACCTTCTCACTCATTCTCAATAGTTAACGTTTTAGTATATGGTTCATAACCTAATGATTTAGCTCCAAATACAAGACATTATGAGATACGAACCTGAAGTTCAATCCAACTAGGGGGCTGAGTTCGCGGTCCATTCTTGAATGTCCTATCAAGTCGACCTTCACAATAAGGAGCATAACCAGGTGGACCAGTGCGAATGAAATTCTTGAGGTAATTAACAAATTCCTCTGAAGGCGGGAAGCAGCCCACACATAGTGACAGCAAAATCCAGCCACGAGCATGAGATGCTTTTGATGGATTGTTTGTCAGCTGCTTGCAAATCTGGCAGTAGATCTCATTCCTGTAATAAGAATTGAAAGTTACAGTTTAATTCTGACTCTCCAACACTGATTTCAAATGAGATATACATTTACAGTCTTATTTAATTATATTAATTATTCAATAAATTTCTGTGCACACAAACACACATATCAGATGGATGAGCATTTAGCTTGTATTCATGTTCAAATTGCAACTGAAACAATGTCTTGACCATCTCTTTCTGCTTGATTTTAGTAACGTAAAAGTTATTAAACTCATTATGCTCTTTTCCTGTTGCTTCCAAATTTTCTCCTCAGCAGTTTCTCAGACACCTTCAATCTATGTTCTTTCCTTAGATTATGCAACCAAGTTTTATTCTGATACATATGAAAGAACAAGCATTACTGCAGTTTTGTATGCTTTAATTTTTAGGTTCTTAATAAAAGTCTTGGTTACTAATATATCTATTAGTGTTCAATTCCTTAATGACCCACCTGAGCTCAGGTCTTAGAATGCCATGCCCTACAGTGAAGTGGAGCTTTTCCAGGTTAGTAGTGCGTCGTCCTTCTAGCCACAGCGTGTAGTTGCTAACAGCAGATTCATCTTGCAGCAAACCCCTCACATTTTCATTCAGTTTGTTCTTGCGCTTAAGAGTCATCGAGATCATTTTACGTCTCTCTGCTGCAGACATCTTTTTTAATGCCATTTCTTCTTCCTAAATAATAAAATATTTGTATAAATGTTTAACACTTCAGTACCTGAACTACTAGTCAACAATATGTATATGTCTTATTCTCTTACAATTATATATTATTTATGTGAAAATAACAAAAATCAATTAAAAATGACTGTCTTGTGGGTTGTAGTGCCATGTAGTCTGGTAAAAGTTCATCAATGTATCAAAGGTCTTTGCCACCTCCATCATCAGGGCCGCTCATTGCCCTGATGATGAATGCACCAAGGACCTCTGAAATGTTGGTAAACTTCTACCAGACTACATACTGCTACAACACAGAAGAGAGCCACCATCAGAATCATTGCATACAATCTCACTCACCTGTATCTGTCTCTCAGCTTCCTTAAATTCCTTGCTGCTAATAAAATTCCTAGTCAGTGTTTGATTTATCTTTGTCATTACAGGAGTGTTGTCTGGCTGTTCAGTATCATACCGAGGCTCTGCTAGGTCACCCATAAACCGAAGAATGGTAACCCAAAGAGCTTTAGCAGCCTGCAAAAATGTAACAGAATATAGTATTTGTAATACTAGACCGCTCTTGGATCAGTCAGGTAGGTTCTATGAAGAAGTCTGGTCTCTCAACTCTCTGATCTGTTTTCATTAATAATTTAAGCATCAGCACAACCACAACATGCCTAGATTGGCTCTGTGTGCGTTGTCCAGAACAATGCTGTCTGACAAATTACTAGGATTTTAAATGCAAACTGCCTCACTTTCAAATTGCCTTTATAATTTTAACTATCACTGTGGTTAGCACAGGATCAAAAATAATCACTATAAACTAATTAGCACAGATCTAATTTTCGCATGACATAATCAAATTTCAAATGCCTGTGAAATAATGGATTTTAAAATTTTTAATATATTTATTTCATATCTTAAATGACATACTTCTCTGAGTGACTGGTTATTTAACCCCTTAAAACCCAGTGGTAACCATGTATATTCACTTGCTTTAATAATCGATAACTCTACATTTTGTCCAGAAAGTGTATTTATTGGTTTTGTGTGATTCTCAAAGTAAATAGTGATGATTTCCTTAAACGGAATTGACCAGTTGATCTTTGTTATGTTGATGCACTGTGTCTTCTTTGAGGTTAGAACTGAATTTTTAAAAGTTATTTAGACAAGCTTTGGCTCCAAAGGGTTAACAAAGCTGTATCCTCTACCAAAATTACAGAAAGTAAGAAGATGACAGAATGCCAAAAGAATTACAAAGGAAATGGAGAACCCAAAAAATTTGCTTGATTGCAACTTATAAGCCATAAATACAGTGTGGACTATGGACGCTGCATACTACTGTCCACCATACAAGACTTACCAACTGGTCAGCTGGAAGTGGAAGATCTAGAAGTGAGTGCTTGATGGGCCTTCTGGAATACTGGTAGTTAACATTTCCACAGAAGTACATTGCAGCATACTTTCTGAAGTTAAATTCAGATAAGCTGCCTGTAGTGTCTTGAATTTGCGGTATGCTTATTATTTCCTGGTCAGGTTTCCCAGTATCCATAACCTATTGAAAGGATGTAAGCAAAAACAGAATAATCAAATACAGAAATAAGGTTTACCATTAAGCATTTCACATTAGTTGAACAATGAAACAACCAATATTTCCACTTTCATTATTCAAACCCACAGGATTAAAACCTGAGCTCTACATATCTATAATATAAAACATTTCTGTCTCCTAACATTTTCTTCTGTCCTATTTGGTAGTTACTAAGAGCAATCCTTCTGTCTTATCCTGTTTCCTTCTGTTTTGACTGTCTGGAGGTTACTATGAACAATATTTCAGTTACAACCATTTCACATGTACTCATTCTATTATGTCCTTAATTTCAGTAACTTCTCTTTTGTAGCATTCCTATTTCAGAACTTGCCTAATACCTTGCTTTCAGATTTTATCCCTTCCCATTTATTTCATAATACTCTGTATAAATTTCATTTCTTCTACTTTCAATCTGGTTACATCTCTCTCAGTCTAACAGCAACATTTAAGCTTTGTATGTTAAAACAGGAAAGTAATATGATTCATATAACACAATTTTAATCTCTGGACATTCTGTAATTCTACAGAAAAAGTAGTAAACTCTGAAAACATTCCTTGTCTTATAGATTTCCAAATTTTATTTCTGTTCATTGGTTGAAAGACCTTCTCACTGACCATTCACTTCATCACTTTCTAATATCTCAGGCCCTTCTCTAAGAATTAATACAAATAATAATTTGCTAACAAAACAATGTAACTATACTCAGTACTAATTACAACAATTTCTAATTTATATATGTTATAATTTTAAGTAATTTTAAACAACATTATTTTAAGTTTGTGTATAGACGGAAAATAAAATATTGTATCAACAATTTCTAAGTAAATAATCATATAACATATCTCACAGACTGGACCAAGCACAAAATAAAAGCAAAGGAAAGAATTCAACCAAATGAATACAAGTAGAAACAGAATTTAGGAAACTTACCCCATACACAGTGGCACCAGGAGAAACATGACCACTATCACCAGTACTTGGATCAAGGAAGTCAAACAATGTGTCAACATCTGGAGGTTCATCTTCCATATCAATAGTGCTTTCAGGCTCGATGTCCTTTACCTCCTTGTCCAGTTCAATAAGACGTTTCTAAAAAGACCAGTTTTTCATTCATTTCTGAATATCATTGTTAATACTAGACTACACTAGATTATTCGTTTTTGCCAAAGGATGCGTCAATTTAAGAAAATACAGGTATGTTGTGACTTATGCCTCTTCAGTGTGACCTATAACACACATTAAGTTACTGCTCTTAGGAACATCTTATAGTTACACACTCCAGCATCCACACAGTTTTTTCTGCATCCTGCACCCTCCCTTTGACTCATTTCACAAAAAGAAAAATTCAACTCCTTTGACCTCATAAATTAAAGCTGTTAACCAAAAATTATATAAAACCTTTGATGATAACCCAACTTCTAACACTTCCTGTAATTAACATTCATAAACCTCATCCATTCCTTAAACAGGATATAAACTCAAGACCATGCAAACTGAGTATACAAAAACCATACTTTTCTAGCTGTTACCACACAGGAAAAGGGGATTAAAACTGCTGTAAGAAAGGTGTTATTGGCCACACTTTAAATCCGGTATTCAATGGTTTAATGATATGCTATCGAGACACAAGGCCAGCTAGAATGTGCAAGAATCATGATGCATGGCCAATAAAAGTTAATGACAATGTCCACACATTCAGCAAGATTATAGCTACCTTGTAATTTTCTTCTGCAATTTCTCTGTAGTTCTTATGCCCAGCTTTCTTAAGCTCTGCTTCTTCCTTCTTCCTTAGCTGGAGAATTTCTTGGAGTCGTCTTTTTCTGAACTACAACAAATTAATTGCAATAAATTTTTTATCTACAAAAATGGGTATACAAATCTCATTAATTTTTATCAACATTCTGATGGTATTTAAAATTAATAAGAAACCATTTCCATCAACAGGACTTACTGGAGTTATCTCTTTATAAATTAAAGGTAACAAATGTCTTAATTAAAAAACAACATGAACATAACAATACACTAACTTCACAAGCCATCAGTCAACATGGGAAAACTACAAAAACAACAGCTTTAGCCATTTCAACAAATTTTGATACCAGGAAAGTTTTAAATGTATAAAGATACAGTAATATGATATATCCACTCTCTTTAGCAAACACAACACATGTTCTTTTACTTCTGAAATTCCAGCAAACACATATGACAACATTTCAATGAATATGAAGCGCTGAACAATTAAAAATTCAAGTGATGACAAAGTGAAACTTACCTGGGATTTCTCTTTTAATGTCTGCCGCACAAGATAACCACGACAAAATGCCTAGAATAGAATACAATAATTATTCAGATTAATAACTGTGATTCTTAAGTAAAAAGTTATATGTTTACATTTATATGATTCCCCTTCTATTCTATCTTAAAATATGTCCATACCAACTAATGACGCTGTTTGTTAATTTGATACTAATTAAATTCCTTTAAACTTTTTCTCTTGGATCTATAACACATAATATCACATTATACATATGGTCCAGTGACACACGTTAGAAGTTGAGTCTTTTAGGGCCCAAATGGGTAGGTAATCACCACCTTTTCCCCCGAAGACAGAAACATATCCAGTTTCCAAAACATTGTTTTCTTTTTGAATATTACACACTGAAAAACCCAGAAATCCAGTAATACTCTTACCAATACATGTCTTGGTCCATGCCAAAGTTTCTGTGCCATATGTTAACGAAGGCATACAGTAACTTTTCCTATTCTTGCATGCGCACACACCACAAAGGATTGGTGGGGTGGCAGCGGTAGAAAGAGCAGCAGCAGCAGCAATAGTATTAATAGTTGTAGCAGTAGTAGCAATGAGCATAATTTATTTCTATTTGCTATGTGCCCAATATGCTATGTCCAAAATCTCATAATCAATTTTATTTTATATATATATTTACTTAGCAAAGCTTTCACTAGCTCAGACCGTGTATTCTGACTACAATTAACCAAAATTGGATATTTTACTCTATATAAAATTCCTGTAATTAGTTTCAAGAGATTAAGAATTTGATTTGTCTGACAGTCTGACCAAGCCAATGATTTTGAGTGTTCAGTAACCCACCTGAAACTTCGAAATACGAGAACGGATATTACTGAAGCTGTGTTTTAGCTTCCTTGAATGAAGAAGAGCCTGTAGTCGAAGATAGCCTTGTCTCATCTTCTGGTACTGGAGACGAGGAACACGGCCACGCCAGTATTTCTGCAGTGTCAATGCAGCTGACCGTAGTCTCAAGAATCTACATATAAATACACACATAATTTTATATAACCTAACCTGAAAATGGTTCACTGGCTGGTAATCAGAGAAACCTTGTAGTGAATGTACTAATCTGGTGAGATTCTTAGTGCAAACTAATGAAAGGAATGAACTTACAGTGCCACAACTTTATTTTCTGTCACTTTCACTACTTGAACAAACAAAACTGATCACCACATCCTAATCAATGTAAATACCAGAAGCAGTTCTGTACTAACTTATTTCATTTATCAACTGAAGTCATTTGATTATACTAATTTCATGCATCAGGTTCCTTCTCAACATTAACATAGCTACTCAAAAAATTCTCCACCTTTTAAGGGACCCAAAGGTCCCTTACTATGTTCACAGGATCCCTACTGGGTAGAATTTCTCTTATTGGCAAATTTCATAATAAAAGGTTGTCATATTTTAATTACTGAGAAATCACATTCTTCAAGTTCACTACTACAACCTGCATAAAACTTACATACATGTTTTGCATCAGTATGTGATTACAAATACATATGAAAAATTCATAAGCCCATACGCAGTTAAGAAATGCAATGCCTTATCAGTTGTGTTACCTTGTGGATTATAATACTGTCTGTCAAATGTGACAACTTTACAAAATACATGATTTATATGCTGATATTTTCGTAAATAAAAAAAATCTAGCCTTATCATGAAAAGAAGCAACACTCTTGTAATTCAATTCTAAAGGGTTTTGACGATGGTAGTTTACACTTAAAATTATTCATTGTCAGAACTTTTTCCATTGTCTGTTCTTTAACCTCTCCGCGCGGACCGACGTGAAAATTCGTGAGGCATAAATACCCCCTAGTGGATATCGGTACAGTGTACGTCGGCTGCAAGCTTAATTTTTGTAGCCCATAACTTTTTAACGAATAACGCCAGCGGAATGCGGTTTGCACTGCTTTGTTCTGAAAAGATAACTGTATGTGGACATATGGCAACACCGCCACATTCCATTGAGTTCTACCTGGGAATCTAAAAATCTAAAGGGTTTTGACAACAGTAGTTTACATTTAAAATTATTCTTTGTCAGGACTTTTTCCATCGTCTGTTCTTTAAAATCACGACGTTTCAGAGGCTGGTTCTGTCTCCATCTTCAGGTGAGAGGTAATTATGCCTACTCTGTTGTCCAGTGACAGAGACCAGCTCTATCTAAGGGACCCAACAGAGTAGGTACCTCTCACCTGAAGACGGAGACAGAACCAGCCTCTCAAACATTGTGATTTTAAAGAACAGATGATGGAAATGTAGCACCAGAATGCTCTTTGTAAGAACTCTCTCCCTCTCCTGTTCCAGAAATGTGTCATGAGCATCCTTCAGAAAGACTTTGGTATGTCCCAGCTGGTAGTCTTCCTTCCTCAGCACCAGCTGACAGATTTTACTTGAAGCAGCTTTGCAGTCAGTCTGTAAATTAACAGCTCGAGATTGGTTATGTCTGGAGAGTTATAATTTAAATATATAAAGATGAATGTCTTCTGGGTTATTGCTCCATGCAGTCTGTTGGAAGTTTACCAACATTTAAGAGGTACTTGCTGAATCCATAATTAGGGTGATGATAGATGCAGGAAGTATCCCTGAAATGTTGGTAAACTTATACCAGACTACATGGCACAACAACCCAAAAGACAGTCACCTTCTTACTCACTGCCATAAGAACCTCAAATCTCACAAATATATTATCTGAGATCAACAGCTTACAAGTATAAAACAATTTAAAATTAGTTAAATCTAAACATCTGCTGTTACAAAAATTCTAAGTCTGAGCGCAAACACTGAACAATCTCTGTTATTACTTTCACCACTACCATCATCATCATGATTATAAACACCATCATTATCCTAAAATTTAGTGCTTCAATTTGTCTTATTCCTGGCCAGATATGGTCTCATATGCCACCTTGTGGTTGATATTAAATAACAGGCAATAAGACTGAAGAATAAGGGAACAAGCTGGAAGAAATTTAGACTGGGATCCAAAAGACATGATCAGACATAAAAATAACTCACATATAACTTTCAATTATATTGTACTACAAATAACAGAACTGCAATATATTCTGAGACAAAAATCTGTAAAATGAATAAGTAAGTACACGTTGGCTGTGTGCTATATAAAACTGCTGCTTTTGAGGAAATAGGACACATTAAACACACATAACAACAATAAAACTTTTCAATAAATTAAATTAAAAACATTCTTAATAGAAGCTAATAGCAAACATTTACACAGAAAATCACCTTGTGTGCATGAGGAGTTCCTGGTGCAAGGACTCTGTACCTCTCAACAAACTCTCGGAAGGCGTGACGAATTGGATAACCTGCTCTTCTGATTTTGGCAGTTTCCATCATGCCTGAGTAGCGTAGTTGTCTGCAGCACAGACTTCGATCAAACACCTGAATACAAAGGACTATATTATGCATCTAAAATGTGAAAATCAAAGCAATTAATGCTAGACAACTGACTGGATGATCAGGGTTCAATTTCTGGCACCAGTAAGATTTCTTTTCATAATTACAGTACAACCAAATCATCTCTGGAGGTCACATAACCTCCAATACAATTCCTATCAAGGTCTCATTCCCAGGAGTTAAAGCAGCCACAGTATGTAAATGACCACTCACTTTCATCACATACCATAGTTAAGAAAGCAAGAATCTTTTAACTCCACAGCCTATTTGAAGGTACAGGTATTCCTCATTATAAGCATGTTCTAAAAGTGTGATTTCATTTTAATGCACTCACCTAATTTACACTGATTTCAATACTTACTTTAATGCGAACTGCTTGCTGGATGATAGAGTGTGGTGATGAGAAGGGGGAGTAGAGTGTTGCATGGCTGGCAGAGGAGAAATGCGAGGGGTGAAAGGAAATTTTCTTTCAGATTTCACTCTCTGCAACTTTTCTTTGGAATGTAGGAGCCCACCACTGGACTTATCCTTAGCAGCTGAATATAATCTACCCCTCACATCTTCTTTAAGAACCATTTTAATATTATTATCCCACCTATGTCTGGGTGTCCCAAGTGGTCCCTCACTTTAGGTTTTCTTCGTAGGGATTATTTCATCGCATTCATTTAATAATATATGTAATGCACCATAAAATACAACATACCTTTGGTTTCTTAAGAGCGTTAGGTTTGATACATCGTACAAAGAATGGATGACAGCTGCTTAATGTCTTCATGAGAACATCAAGAGATTTGCGGAACTGTGCAGATAAAGTCATGGTTCGTTTTTTTGTGTCATGCTGGTTGATGGACAATTCCTCAACAAACAGATTCTTCAGAAACTTGTTGCTTGCAATGTGGACCAATTGTTTCAAGTCTGTGCTAAATGAGTCTCTGTTCTTGTCCAAGAAACCTGTCATAACAAGAAAGTTTGTACTTAGCCAAATACAAAAATAAGAACCATGAATGTAAATTTGTCATTTTGTTTAAAGTTTACATTCTATGCCTTTGTTATATTTATACAAATTCAACACAGAGCACATCCCAATGTCTTAGATAAATTTCTATCCTTATGGCAAAAATGCAAAATACATTTCCAAAAAAATGTGAAGAATTTCTTCACTACCTAAGCATACTAATAGCTTCTCACGGGCTACAGGACTATGCTCCATGGAGATAGTTATTCTTTATGTAACGATCTGTACAGTGCCACTAAGATGCAGCAACAACCTGATAAAACGGACAGTATATGACCAATTTCTAACTGTTCGGACACTGTACTGAAATGAGGGAATTTGAAACATATTTTAAAATCAATTGCATATGACTTTTCACTGATATTAAAATTATTTGGTTATTTAATGATAGTTTTGCAACTGTTTGTTATGTACTGTCAAATGAATGTGAATAATGAATTGCAAAGAATCTGGAAAGGAGTGGCCATGGTCAGTAAAAGTTACAGCCTATGGGCTGGGTTATTGGGGTTTGATGACAGTACAGAAAGCAAATTTTCTCTTCACAATGTCCAGTTCAGTTCTGAGGCATACCTAGTCTTCTATCAAGTACATACAGAGGGTGATTTCCTCAGGAGTAAAACAGCTGACCACACCCAGCCATCTGACGTTGAGGTCTAGACTGTAAGGAGCTTTTCTATCATGCCCCTTATATATCTTTATGGCATGGTGTTTAGGCCATGAGAAATCTTACCTTTATATTATATACTTCTCTTCAGAACAGTGCATGCACCATTATTAACCCATTACTTACCTTTTACATCATAGAACACTTTTCCAGCAAAATGACTCAAGCCAAAGGCTGGAGTCTTGTCAGACATAGGCTTCAGGTAATTCTTATTTCCTTCATGTGTCTTATGAACCTTAGTTAATAATGTTCCATCGGTCCCCTGAAATGTAACGAAACCACGTGCTATCAAGGATACTTTAATTAACCATCTTACGAAGATTCAATATGACAATGTAAACTAGTTCAAGATAGAATGAAATGGTGTGTTTTATACGAGATTTTCAGCATCCATAAAATAAGTCATGAGGATGAAGTACAAACATTTAAAGATCATGCTTCTATGTAACTCTACAAAAGGAGTTCAATTTAGGAAAAATTCATAGATATAACTACATAAAGCAGTCCTCCTTGAGAAGTTGATAACCAATCAACTGGTCAAGAAATTTCCTGCTTTTATGAAACCTGTAATTTTATTACCATGTTAAAGACAGCCCAACACTGGACCTTATATCGACCTTGTGTCTAAGGTTACGACCCTGTGTGACATCTCATAATATACAAGCTACAGGATCACCCCTTGTTAGATGCCCATAACTTATTATTCAGTATACTTGCAGCTACTTCCTGCACCTGGCGGCTTCTTCTACGATTTCTCTACGTTAACGTTACATTTTTAATACAGTACAAACAGAAGATTAAAATGGGACCCAATCAAAGAGATGTTTCCATACCTTTGGAAATCTTGATTCTTCATCAATTAAAGACATAATATTGATGGGCTTTACTCCAATCAGATCCAGGATGTCTTGGTTGTCAACAAATGACATGTGTTGCCAGTTGATACCCTCGCGTGTGTATTCCTCTTGTTCAAGCTTAAAAATATGCTGGACAAAGAATTGTTGCAGATTCTCATTGGCATAGTTAATGCACAACTGCTCAAAACTGATAAGGACAAAAAAGAGAATTATGAAACTGAAAGGGCTAATAAAATGGAAAGGCAAATTCAGAAACAACTCTCCATGGAACAGAGTCCTTAGAAGCTAACAACGATTAAGTTAAGCGAAATGTTCCTATCCTATGGAGCCTGAAGGATCATTACTGGGCTCATAATAGCATGCCACAAGTCCCTGTCTTGAATCATATGAATCCATTTCATGCCTTATTTTCCTCAGATCCATTTTAAAACTACCCTCCCATCTGAGGCCAGGTGCTCCAAGTACTTTCCTCTCTTCAGGTTTTCTGACCAAAATTTTGTATGAATTTATCATCCCCATGCATGTTACATGTCCTGCCCATCTCACCCCCCTTGGTTTTATCATACAAATATTTTGCTAAAGAATACAAATTATGAAACTCTTCAATGTAAAATTTTCTGCAGCTTCTTGCTAATTAATCCCTATTAGGTCCAAATATATTCATCAGCACCTGATTCTCAAACATCTTCAATCTGTGTTCTTCCCTTAATGTGACAGACTTAAGTTTCACAATTATAAAACATATAAAATTATAATATTTCAATGGATCAGACATACCTGTAAACGTAAAAACTTCTGTCACCAGGTTATTTAACATACTAATAATGGTTTTGTACAAAATTTTAAGGTATGTATATGATTTAATTATATTCATAAAAATAATATTTATCTTCTCCATTATATATTAAATGCACCCTTGCAAAAATAGCTAACAAAATGTAGGGTGTGGATATTATGCACTTAAATGTTTGTAAATCAGAGACACACAAACCTGTTGGTGTCAAAATTCTCAAATCCAAAAATATCCAGAACTCCAATTGAGTTCTTTGTTTTTGCTTTGGGTTTGAAGATGGTAATATTGATTTTCTCTACAATCATGATAAAGATCTGTCCATAAATTCCCTTCACAAAGGCATCTCGGACTTCGACAGCTTGCTCTACAGACAGATTAGATACCTATAGAAGACAAATACAGATCTTAGGCAACATTCTGATTTGTTTACAACTGATCGTATCATGTCAATCCTCCACTGTGCCCAACACAGTACAACATAAAAATAGACAATTACTTGTATAAAAAATCATTATAAGGCTGTCTTAAAAACTCTTTCTTGTTAATAATATTTGGGAAACAACTCAATGATTTATAAACATTCTGAAATAAATGCTGTTGTTGTTATAGCTATTATTCCAACATTCATTAAATACTGCCATGAAATTAGAAAACATGGACAAAGAAGTTGTATTATTCCCTTAATTTTATACATTTACTGCACAAAAATTTTCCTCCAAATTTCATGGTTTTACTTTCTTATGAGCCATGATAGTTCAATTTTTCACAACTTACTACTTTCTCTCCATGTGCAAAAATCGTCTTTCTTGTAAGAGCATCAACAAGCAAGTCTTTGGAAACCCCCAATATAGCTGCAACTTTCTGAACTTGTGAATGATCTGGAATTTCTGCGGCATCAATATTTGCTACGAAACAGAACAGACACATAGATTATTCTATACATGGTACTGCATGTTTAAAAATATAAAACAGAAATTGGACTTGTGCACTAGACAGGTTAGTTTCCTGTTATGAGTAATCAGTCCTAATGATGGCTTTTAGTTTTACCTTTATTACAGGTGATGGTTACAAATTACATGTAATTAAATCTGATCATGAACCTCAGACTTCTGGCACAGAAGACCAACAAGCCTGTCCTCCTTACTTTCAACCACAGAGATAATTAAGCAAATATTACAAATTTAATTCAACTTACCAATAACAAGTCCATTATATTTCACATTTCCAAGATGAAGAATGGCTGCAAGTAATCTGACAATATTCAGTACTTCCTCATCAGAAAAGTTCAGAACTTTCATAGCAGATCTAATATCAGCAAACTCAGCTGCATCGTCACGTCCATCACAAGTCAGACACTTTCCCTGGCAAAACAAGATCACCATGCACTGCACATTAAACATAACGTTGCAAATATTTTAAGTAACAGATGTCCCCCAGCTAAATTACCAGTCTATTGGAGTGTTAAGTTCAGTGGTGGGGCTGCCACCTTGATGCACCTGAACTTACACTAGGACACGCTCAGTCTAACGTCATTCATTGAAGCCTTTCCTGCAAGACAGGTTCTGGTCCGCAGTAGCTACACTATTAGTGGAATAGCCTGCCACTTCATTGAGACATGCAACCTCTTCCACCATGTAAATGTGATAAGTAATCATATTTGAATTAAACACATAAATACTGCTGAATGAAAAAGCAGGGCATACGAATTATGAAGCAGAACACTTGCAATATGTAAAAAATTGTTAATTACATTTTTTGAGCTACAGAGGAACAACTGTGGCTTGTCCAAATGATCTGTCTTTTTCACTATTAAAAAAATAAAATGTTCTGAACTTCGCCTCTCCAAACAATTGTACAAGTCTAATAAGAAGAATAAATTTACTTCTCTAACTTATGTGATACACTAATCTGTTTCTAAATTGACACATCACAAAAAAATGCATGTAAAAGAATGAAGGTCAGCCAGTGATGTAAAAAAGAAAAGGTTACATACATTTTCTGAGTTCTCATACAAATCAGCAGCATATTTCTTGTACTACAAAAAACCCCTTTGCTTTCTTTTTTTTCAACTTTACACTAAATAATCAGCAGTTGTGTAAAATTTTATCAGCAACTTTCAAAGTGTAATATTAAATTTTCTCACTGTTTATCATGTGGAAGCACAAAACTTACCCCTGTCAGATAAATATATTGTGATGGGTCAGCCAAGTCCAGAGACTTCTTTTCATCCTGACTCAGTCCTGCCAACATACTGTAGAAAATGTGATAGTTACGTTCTCCGTTGTTCTGAGACACTATGCGGGACTTCTCTAGAAGGTACTGCTCAATCTGAGCGCCTTCTATAGCACCGTCACTGTTGAAGTTTATATCTATATACTTCCCAAATCTTGATGAATTATCATTTCGGACAGTTTTGGCGTTTCCAAAGGCTAAGAGAAATAATGTAAAACCAATTAACAATAATGTAAATAAACTTTTTTATTAAATATACAGAAAAACCTCTAATACACTTCTACACTGATTTTAATAAAATATTATGTTAATGATGTAGTCCTTAATGATCTTCATAATGATATTCTTAGTACAGGACAGATTGTATGATCAGAACTGATTAGTGCATAAGTTCTGGAACCAGGTGGTTATGGTCTGTATGAATGTGCTACCCCAGCATATGAGTCTGGCGAGGTAACCTGTTTGAGATTCTAATTACGCACCTTCCAGATACAAATCTATAGCACCACTACTGCATCAATATGCTCAGGAGCCCATGGTTTTCTTCAATACAAAAGAACTCATAATCCAAAGACGTTTCTGTTTCCACACTTAAGAAAATATCAGACTACAGACTAATGAAACAAACTGAAAACTCATTATATAAACAATCATATTTGAAATATTGTCATAGAACAAGTTCATTTTCACCTTCCAGAATAGGATTTGCTTCCAGAATCTGCTGTTCAATCCAGGAATGTTTCCCACTTACAGCTGCCAAGTAACGTAAGATAAGCTTAGTGCTTTCAGTCTTTCCTGCACCGCTCTCACCACTGCAAAAACCACATTAATGAATATATTAAGATCCTGTATAAAATTCACACTCATCAATTAAGAGGATACCAAAATTTCCACTCTGAAAATGGTAAGATTCAGATTTCTTTTAATGCCTTCCCTTATTATCCAAAGATATCTCGGACTGTTGATTTCTGCAAATAAATATTAACCAAAGTTAATTCCTACCTAAAGACTTAAGATGAAAATACATAACAATAAGTTATGTCTTGTTTTATACGAGTGTGAGACCTGGTCTGTTACAAGAAACAAAAGGCTGGGAAAAATTACACAATGATGAGATTCATATGTAAGACTTGAGGTTCTCACATAATTTTTCCATTACAAAGATCAACTGATTCAGGGTACTGAAGTAAATAATCCCTGTTTACAGTGAGAATCTTATGAAACCCATAAAACAAAATGAAGAGTTATTTATTGTTAAAGCAGGTGTTACGCTCAGCTTTAAAAGGTTAAATCACACACACCTTATAACAACACACTGGTTCTGCTGAAAGCGCTTCATGTCAGTGAAGCAGCTGTCTCCAATGGCAAATACATGAGGAGGAAGCTCACCCAACTTGCAGTCCTTATACATGGCAACATCCTTGCTTGTATAAATAGGAAGAACTTGGTATGGGTTAACAGCTACTAGGATTGACCCTGTGTATGTCTGAAATCACAAAATTACCTACTTATTTGTACTGTTATAAAAATGTAATTGGATTTCATGTAAGAAGTGGGTGTGGCTTAATGTAAGATATTCTGGCACCTAACTGGGAAGACTAAAGAAAATGATTAAAAATCTCAGCATAGTCAGTCTCTGGGCCAAGATTTGAACCTGCCCCCCCTCCAAAAACATGAAGTAAGAGTTAACCACTCAGCCATGATTAGTGAAAATACTGATGAAATGTCAAGTCACAAAGAAAAAGGTGTCCTCTTTTGTACTGTACTAAACTGAAAGAGTATAAAATACGCTGGATTTTGGATCGTTTCATGCAAGATCAAAGCCAAAAATAGTCCTGCAGACAATAATCTATGGTAATGCTTCATTAATAATGTGCTTACACATGAAATTGCATAATTAAAATTAATTAGTGTAATATGTCTGTGCAGTTTGCTACTTTTCTTTGTGCTCAGGGTATTTATAATCACTTTCTGGCAAAAACAATTTATGGATTTGGTATTGAACATAAAATTTGTTTTAGATTAATGACAATAAACTTATCTGAAATCCAGTACTCTGTAGAACAAAACATATTTTATAAAAGAAATACTGCTACATACATAGATCAAGTCTTGGTTGTAACGGTAGTGCAGATTTCTAAGTATGGTATATTCCTGTAGATCAGCCAGTGTTATCATGTCTTCTACACCAAGTGAACTTGTTGTATGCATTGGTTTCAGCACCAGGTCTGCTGGAACTACCACTTCCTGCATCAAAGAACACTAGATGTGGTTTTTGTAATTTTGGAACGAGGTATTTTGCTGTGTTTTCGATTGTACTGATTAACAAAAGCTGACAACACAATGCTTTTTATCAGCCCAAACTAATATAACCGACTCCACGGAGAATGGTCGTCCTTCAGAAGCTAACAGCCACTCGGCTGGTTAAGAATCTGTCAACCTTTTATGGAACCGGAAGGTTCAGTAATGTATTTTAGCTATAACATATAATGGGAAGAAGCCACTTGGATATCTAGGCCCAGATGGAAGGATAATATTAAAATGGATCTTAAGGAAAACATTATGTGAGAATGTGGACTGGAATCAACTGGTTCTGGACAAATACAGTAATGAACCTCTGGGTTCCACAAAAAGAAAGAAATTGGTGAAATGAGTGACTAATCAGCTTCTCAAGGACTGTGCTGCATGGAGTTAGCCAGCTCAATAAAATCTTCTCGGGCGATCAGAACCCTGATATCATTAGCCAGCTCACCTAAAACTTTCATCAACTGAATTCAGTAGTTTTATATGCTGCCACCATTTATTAATGATATAAAACAGACATACCTCACCACTATCATCCTTGACTCTAATATTCTTGCCCTGAGTGCTGAGTATCTTGACTCCAACAGGAACATCAAACTCATCATTGCTTGTTGCCTTCAGCCAGACATAGCCTCCCTGGGGAGAAAAGAAAAGGGGGGGAAAAAAATTGTCACAAGGTAGAAGTGAAGTACAACAGATGAGTATACAGGTAGCGAACATATGTAAAGTAAAGCAAAGCTGTCCTGCTACATGCCATGGAGGTGTTCAGGGGAGAGAAGGTTTAGCTCCTATTCATTCCTGACCTCCACATATATGTGGTTGAGTGCTTAGCATCATGACCAAGCTGCACTTTACCCCTGGCAAAAGGACCCTTCATACCTATCGCAGAGTAGGCTGGGTGGGCCCCAGAGGCTTGAAAAATCCTTTGCCCCCACCAAGGATCAAACCCTGGTCACCCTGTCTGTAGTTAAGACATCTTAATGACAGAGCATAGATACATAACTTCCTCTTTCTACCTCATATTTACATAAACACTCATAAATTTTTCCTCTAGCCTCTGCGTCCTCTGGGGCCCACCCAGTCTCCTATCCAATGGGTAACAGGGTCCTTTACCAAATGTTAATACTTGATTCCATAGTTTTTGATTTGAATCTTGTATGGAGATCACAAATTTAAAACGAAGGTTGTATGGGTTCACTCAAGTCCTCTCCAGGTAAATGACAACAAAGTACCTTAAAACAGGTCATAAAGTTTTTCTCACATCTGTATAACCTCTGTAGTAGATACAGTGTAATTAAGCAAAAAAAAAAGGAACAAATGTTACATTCATATACACACACTGAAAAATCTTCTTGTCATATTTTCTGATCTGATAATGCCAATCTCATAATACAAACAGGCTTTAATGTTGAGTACTTACAGAAACTATAGCTTGGGACATTTTGTGGAATTTTGACTTTGAATCAGTTTTAAATTACTTTAAGACAAAACATAGCAACTTTTCTGCTTAGGAACAAACACCAGTAACACAGTTGACAGAGCATGTATGACACTACATTCTCAGTAAAATAAAACACTTTTGACACCTGTATCACTTTATCTCAATTCTGTATCTACAATATTACTATATGACTCACTGATTCCTATTCAATGTTATCTCATCCTATTGCAAGCTGATAGCTTTGTAAACCATTATCACTATCATCACATACTCAAGTTACCTGCCACACACCCACAATCAATCAGCAAGACAGCTTCTTTTGACCAGTAAATATAGCTGCTGTTCACCAGTTTGCTTATTTAATTCATCTCTTTTGTTCTAAGACAGATATATGAAGATGGCTGCCTTCTGGGTTGTAGCAACATGTGATCTGGCAGAAGTTTACCGAAGTTTCAGAGGCACCTACAGCTTCCATCATCAGGACAATGACTGATTGGTCCTTTGGTAGATGCTCTTAGCAGCCTCAGCACTAGATGGAGGTGAATGGTTGGCTTCACACTCTAGCACTCACTGGATAGGCGACTGGGAGGGTGTGACAGTTGGTCTGTATATGGTGGCTGAGAGAAAAATTCCTGCCCCTACTGGAAATGGAAACCTGGTCATCCAACCTGTAGCCTTTCACAGTAAACGGTAACCATACATCCTGTTTTATGGAAAAAATTTATACTCCTTTACACAGCATATCAGATAAAAAGAATCAGCTTTCCAAAGGATTAATAAGCCATTTTAGCAACTGGATGTACAGTATCCCAAAAATATGTACACACACATTCAATGAATGAAATAAAGACATTTTAATAAATTAAACCATTACACACATCAGCAGTACTTAGTGAATTAGAGAATCTAGTGTAGGCATTTCATATGCCACAGAACACATGCAGATCAATAACAATGTTAATATTCCATATTATAATATGTACACATCTTTTTGGAATATTGTGTATTAATGGAATTTAATTCATTTGCTGTCCTATCAATTTAGTTTTAAGCATGATATTTGTATGTTGAAGATTAAACAGAATACATGTCGTCCATAGATGATATGCATAAAATAAACATACAATGGGAAGACCATCTCTCCATTCATCCTTATCTCTGGACCCCCTCCCCCCCACAATATGTTATAAAGCTAAAAGTTTTAAGGAAATTTCCCTGAAATACAAATTCGTTCCAAAATATCTACTTTTATGTAACACCGAATTTTCTCAAATACAGTTCATGGTACAAAATTGTTAATGTCTGTTACCCTCATTTGTAAGGAACTTAACCATTTTGAAAAGTACATGTGTAAAGGAAGGACAGATTATCATATAATGCTTAGAAGCTATCTTAGAAAATATAACTAATTTTCATGCATTGGTACTAATGAACATGGTATCTGATATCCTGCCACATGATAACATTATGATGTAATACAACTGATTAAGTATGTAGTAACAAGAAAAGAACGTCCATTTCAATTCTATTTACAGATAAATGACATGCTATATGGCACTTGAGTATTTCCAAGAGAGGGAAGAGATGATAGCAGATAGCAGGAAGTTCTACATATCTTATTTTCAAAAAAATGTTACAAATTTCTTAAAATAGTTATCTGATGCAAACTGTATAATTGGGAACCAAATCAGTCTTCTATATTCAATAATTTATGTTAACATGCTCATGAGATAAAATTCTACAAAAACATGTTGAAAAAATAAGCATTCATAAGGTCACTCAAAAATGGGAAAATATCAATGCAACAGAATACACTCAGAAAGGTAAGGCCTAATTAGCATAACCTTTGATATATTCATTCATTTAAGTTTAATTCCAGTATTCTAAAATTTTTGCACCATTTATATCCAACATTATTTTACACTGGCAGCTACTTACAGTTCTGGTAGAACTCCAGCAGTTAGAGAAATGATGCTAAAGGAAGATTAAACACTCTACATTTTAAATGAATGTGTCAACAGACATAAACATGTGAGATAAATTTCCAGTTTGCTATACATAACAGTAGGAAAATCTTGCAACAAAACACAAATACCACAAAGAATTTGAAAATTCTTTCATAAGTACAGAAAGTGGTATAGAAATATAGATAGAAGTATATGAACATGTCATGACATCAAAATCAGTAAAAAATATAATAAATAAATAATGTAAAACTGTGACAATGTTTAAAAACCTGAAAACAATAACAGAGTAAAACTTAGGTGCACCAAAAAATTATGGAACAAGTTAGAAAAACATTTATAACCCCTTTCCTAACTTATAAATCACTAAAGATTAAGAAATATTGTACATCAAAATTTAACCTGTTTGTTGTTTTCTATGACAGAGATATGGTCTTTAACCCTAAGGGAAATATATAAGTTGCATTTTAAAAGTGCTGAAGTAAACGATTCAGACCTCAGGGAGGTAAATAAATAAGGAATTGAAAAAACTTACATAACCATGGATTTTATGTTAAAGATTCCTCTCTCACTACCATTAAATCAAGGACGGGATGGGCATATAGCTTGAATAGGAGAAGCAATAAATGCATGTAGACTTTGGATATTTTAATGTATACATTCAGAACTGGGATATACAAGTACAATTTAAATTTTCAACAATTCTGGCATGTCTCTCTGGCAGATATACATACATACACACACACACACACACACACACACACACACATATATATATATAAAATAAACTCTGTGTACCTCCGGTATAAAAATTACTGAAATAAAGCATTGAAGTTACCTCAGACTCTTCTGTTACAAAGAAAGCTTTTCCTTATTACTAATAAAATATTTCTTGAATTCTTGAAGAGCTTGACTTCGATGCGAAATCTTGTTCTTCTCTTCCTTAGGTAACTCAGCGTAAGTCTTATCATAGCCTAGTGGTTGAAAACAAGGGTCCCATCCAAACTCACGAGTGCCCCTGGGGCTGACGATAAGACCCTCTGTCTTTCCTTGGAAAAGAAGTACTTCATCATTCTCACCACCTGGAGAGTACGCAAATGTGCACACAGCATAGGCAGATTTGTCTTCCCAGCCGGCCAACATCCTGTACAACCCTTCTGGCCCAAGCTTTTCCAGAAACCACTTAATGTAAGGTCCTGTAGAATAAAACACAGCTAGTTATCCTTCAATACTTGTTCAGCTGCAATGTTACTAAGTATTAAGTGAGACACGAATGATAAATAGATAAAGATTTTGAAGGAGATTGTGATGATATATTTGTAAGCATATCCTGGCATGACCAGAAAGTGTGTGGGAGATATATATTATATTTATATATATAAAACACACACACACAAACTCAGCATGTGTTACAGAAAGTTTATGAAGAGGAACCATTTAGGAGAACAAAGAATTTTACTGAACATCATGGTCAAGTCAGAAGCACACATACTTCATATTCAGGAAGTCCTGTGTTCAAACTTGGCCTAGAGTCCAGCTATCCTGACTGACCGAAGGAAAAGATTTATTGTTGGGAAAACAAGTGATGTTACAAAAGATGGAAGACTGTACAGGAAAATGCCTTCATGTCTATTTAAATAATTCAGTAACAGAAAAATTAGTCTGTGTAAAAGTGTGTACATTGTGACTGAAGAAAAAAATAGCTCACAGTGGAATTCAAACACCTTATGTGTGGAAACAATGTGACCTCCCACTGTGCCACATTGGCTGCATTTGGAGTACCACAAAACTGAAGGAAAAGTACAATTATCGTGTCTTTAGTACCTTACAACTATTCTATGAAAACTGTCTTCTGGGATGTTACAACACACAGTCTGACAGAAGTTTACAGACATTTCAGAGGTGTTTGTTACTTCCATCATAAGGGCATTGTCCTGTCTGCCAGACAACACAACACAAAATCCAACTGCCAAGAGAACTTGAAACCTCACAATTTTGCAACTTAAATTTTCTCATTCAATACACAAATGCAAATATGCAGGTACACACAATCTCTCACAAAGTAATAATGCTACGAATAACATGAAATATCCTCTTTATAATTTTACCTGGAAGACCATTTAAAGCATTGAAACAGAGGCAAGTATCTTCAGTAACTACAGGACCTCTCACTATCCTAGCAGCTTCTTTACATTTGTTAATACAAATATCATTTATTTCCCCTTGACACTCAGGTAAATCTATCTTTCGGTTCTCAACCTGGAAACATGTATGATCATTACATTAATAAGAAAATTAGTCTGTTCAAGATAATATCAGATTTGCAGAATGTGCAAGTACAACAGTAGAGTTTAAACATGAAAAAACACACAATACGTTTGAACTACATATATATGAGAAATCATACAACAGGGACACAAGTTTAAAAATCAGAATACATCACATACAGATATATAAACAATAACCTTGTAATTTGAAAGGAAATGAACATACATACACAATTATTAATTCATAATCTTTTACTAACAAATTCTTGAATTATTACATTTTAGGCACGTGATATTTCAGAATTTTATAATGCCACCAAGTAATCAATTCACGAACTATAAACAATGCCATTTGAGTGATAAATTCAAACTGGACAACAGGAATATGAGAAAATGAAACGTGCCAATGGGGCATGTTCTGCTAGCCTGCCACAATTTAATATAACTAAGGTTATGTGGTAAAGTTTTCTTTTGCATGAAATTCATATAACTTCAAAAGAAACAACCAAAGGATTTTGATTTTAATTATTTTCTGTTGCTTATCTAATCTCTTTTGCATTAAATTAAATTAATATATCCAAGCATATAGCTGAAAAACTTGTAACCATGTAGAACTCAACTGGTGTTGCCAAATATAGAGAAGAATTATGCCTTCAATGTTTAGTTCACATTTTCTACTCAAGTGCATTATAATAAAATTTCAATTCCACTCTCTGTTCAGAGCAATGTGATGTAATGACATTCCTCGGCATTAATAAGAAACTAGAACTACATTTGAGAGACATGCAAATTTACCATGTGTGGGAATGACTTGCCCAGTATGGCAACAAACTCTTCTACCTTCTTCACATTACCACTCACGAACACTATAGGACGTACCATCACAATTTAGAGATACTGAAACAGTAAATATATATTAAGAAATCTGATTTAATTAAATATTGAACATAACAGATTAAAGTTTTGCACCTGCTGGCAATAGTAGCCACAAATGACATCTAAGTTCAATTTTGTATCTCATTACAAATGACAAACTATTCGTGTGGAAAACTGCACAGGAGATACATGGGTTGGAAACAATGTGGCAAGCAATGGTCAACCGCGAATGTACCGAAGCAATAAAGAATTGAGTTATGCAGAGCCATGCTAAATGTGCCTCGAACGATGTAACAGATACCACAACTCGTTTTCTACCGAAAGAACACGACCTATTACATACTTCAGCAAAGAAACAATTTAATCTGCACATTGTAAATAAATAACTTAGTTTATTAACTGAAAGAAAATCTTATTCTTAAATTAAACTTTTCAATATTCTCCGTTAAATCGCGCATTCCTGGAGCGCTGCCTATTAAAACTTACTGTTTGAATTTAGTATTATAGAACGCCTTCCTTCTACCACATAAACCGCTTCGTGGTCAACCGGACATGCAACTTTAGCAATAGAACGATACAATATCGTTCTGCCATCTATCATTCAGGGTAGATTAATACAATGCATGCACATGTGGTGGTCCATGGTTGTAATTTGTTGAAGGGGAGGGAAATTCAAATCTTAACACCTAAGCATGAAACACCTTGCTTGCTAGAAGACATATATCAAGAAAGGAAGCGAATTATACAAATATACGGCGACCGGACTTCCCTATAAAATAATGAAAGTCCTCCTTAGCTTATTTATACTTACAGCTGCCCTCCATCAGCATCTCAAAAAAACTTATGACATAGAGAGAAGCAAAGAAAAAAGAATGTCCTATATATTTTATTTTTAAGATAGTGTAATTGCGTCATATTGTGAATATTCTAACAATTATTTATTTTAATCCGTCTTATCACAATATTTAATTTTTTTTAAATTTTTTAAAATACAAAATTTCATCAAAAACAGCCACTCTCTTAAAAGAATACTGCAATTTACCAAATACATTCAACATAAAAAATTCTATAAATTTAATTAACGAACTTAATGAACTCAATCTCAATAGAAAGTTACATATGTGTTCATTCGATATTACAAACATGTACACAAATATCCCCACAGATATTTTACAAGATATCATCCATAATATACTAAATAAACAAAACCTCGATACACAAATAATAAACGAAATTAAAATAATAACAAATCTTATTATTAATCAAAATTATTTTCAATTTAATGACAAATACTGGCAACAAAATACTGGACTACCTATGGGTGCCCCCACGTCTAGCATATTATCTGAAATATTCCTCCAATACTTAGAACATAATAATATAATAAACATTTTAAATAAAAACCATATCCAATACTATAGCAGATACGTAGATGACATATTAATAATTTACAATACGGAAAAGACAAATATTCAACAAGTACTTAACGAATTTAACAACATAAATCAAAATATTCAATTTACAATAGAACTGGAACAAAACAATACAATAAACTACCTAGATTTAACTATAATTAGAAAAACAAAAAGATTTGAATTCAAAATTTATAGAAAACCAACTACAACAAGCACCATAATACATGCCTCTTCTTGCCACCCTTTCGAACATAAACAAATGTCCATCAATTACTTACTAAACAGAAAAAACCTATATCCAATATCTACAAAAAACAAACAAATAGAATTAAACATCATCCAACAAATTCTCAATGAAAACGGATATAATAATCACAAAATAAATATAAAACCTAATAAAACAACAAAACCTAACGAAAATGAAAACATACAAGATAAATGGGCCACTTTTACATACATAGGTAAGGAAACCAAATTCATAACAAAACTATTTAAAGAAAACAAAATAAAAAT